GAGAGAGAGAGAGTGACAGGGGAGAGAGAGAGAGAGAGAGAGAGAGAGAGAGAGAGAGAGAGAGAGGATGGAAACTATATAATACGGAACATATAGTTAAGAAAGCTGGAGAGAAGGTGGGAGTGAGAAAGAGAGGGGTCGATATGCAAATATATTTTGAGGAGGGATGATCATTAGAGAAACAATAGAAGATAATCGGAATCTTTTCATATCTTATTCTTCTTGGTACAAAGAAATCAAGAGCAAGAGAATGTGAGAATAATAAACAGAGAGTAATGAAGATAGAGAGAGAGAATGATTGAGGACGCGAGAGAAAGAGAGATAGAGATAGAGAAATAAATTGAGAGGTTACAAGTTCGATCTAAAAAGTAGAGATATGTTGAGAGAGAGTTTGAAAAAGCAAGGAAACGAGAGGAAATGTGAGAGTGTGAAGGAAAGAGTGAGAGAGTGAGCGAGAAAGAGAGGAAGCCGTGATTAATTTGATCTAAAATGATATAAAGTCAAGTTATATATCCAAATAAATAAATTATCTTATATTGATTAGCTTAATTAGAAAAACTACATTTTGTTAGCCTACGACATAATCTTTTATTTATCTCATTTAATATACTAAAATGTCCAAATCATTAAGAAGAAGTCAAAAATCTCAGAAACACATTTTCATAGGAAACCCAAGTCCATTGAGGCAAGTGCAATAAAAGGTGAATGCATTTTGTCCATTTGTTATTTATGAACCTTTAGAGTGAATAAATAAGAAATAAAAATATATTGCAATTTTCATGGAATCTATTCAATTGCATTGTCTCTTGGGTATTCGCATTTCCATTTGAAATACAAAATTTGTAGATATTTGCAAAATTCTTCTTCTTCTATGTGCTGTTACAGCTGTTGTCCCGGACATGCTTTACTAGCCAAGCTAATTTCTGTCGTCCTGCATATTCCAGGCTAGAAATTGTTCCCATTTTCAATTTCATGCAACGCCACTTTGCATTTAAGCCAAACGAACTTTAATATATTCCATTGGCGTTTCAAATGTATGTTGGTATGTGTGTTTGTGTGTGTGCGGGTGGCTGACTGTGTGTAGCCGTTTCTGCATGTGAAGTGCATAGATTATGCAGTTGGCTTCAGTTTATGATTGGCAAATCCAATATACGTCGTGCACTTTGGCATGCAGCCGGGTCGCAGATTGGCAAGCCGGGCGAGCACTTGGACCGCAGCGACTGCAATTTCGACAGAGCTGCCACTTTATGGCAGTCGCACGCATATTTTCCATACCATACCATACCACACCGTACATAGAGGCTGGCGCGGGAACACACACAGTCACAATCAGTTACACTCATACACTGGCGCAGAAACAAGATGGCGGCGCGCCCGTTTCCGGTTGATGGGCAACGGCGTGATTATCGGCAGGCGGCTGGCACCGTCAGTCGACCAGAGCTGAACAGGGCAGGGCAGGGCAAACCGCAGCTGCCGAAAAAAAAAATATAAAAACGAGCACACACAGTGTTAAAGCAGGCACACTGACTAATAGACACTCTGTTAAAAAATAGAGCACTGAATACATGATAAACATTTGTAGAAAATCTTAAAGTGAAAAGCTGAATGTGAACTGCTATAAACGATCGTCGAAATAGCGTAGACAATATACTTCTCCAGACGACTTTTATATGTGGAACCCAAATCTAATTTCATATCATCTAAGAGTCTCTAATCAATAACTAAAGCCAATTCTACTTTTCAGCTAAATTTTAAGTCTGTATGCTATGATTTTTTTCACATTAAGAAATCTTTTCTTTCGATTGGTTTCAACATATATTGGTCATTCAGTAATAATGGCCTACCGAAAAAGAAATATAAGTTAGATTTTTAAAAAACCCTTTACTCTTATTGCTGGTTAACAAAATAGATATATAGACAAAGAGAAAAACAGTGAAAGGGAGATCCGTTAGAGACAGATGGAAAGAAAGATATTAGAGAGTCATGGAGAGAGACAGAGATTGCAAAGTGGGACAGAGGAAAATAGAGACTTTATAATTTTTAAATACATTTTCTATTTACCAACAAAGGAATTTCTTAAAAAATGTATAAAACTTTTAAAATATGATTTATATTTTATATATTTATATTTCAAATGATGAAGTGATAAAAACAATTAAATAATTATGGAAAGTGAATATTTAATAAATAAGTAATATATGAATAAATAATAAATTTATATATGAATATATGTGTATTTATATTTTAAATAAAATTAATTTATTTTTGAAGGTAATTGTTTCTATTTTCATACAAATCACAGACTAAACTATATATAAGATTAATATAATTATATTCCTATTTTTTGTTTTTGTTTAATTTATTTTTTACTTTTCGGATATTTATATACTGTTCAATTTTTGTATAATTACTTTTTATTTTTCGCTACAAAGAAAAATGCATGTAGGGCAAGCTTTATGTATTCACGAATCTGAAACTGACAGGTGAGCCAAGATCTTAGCCCACAATGCTTAAAAAATAAGAAATGTGCGATGTTTAGTTTATAGAAGCAAATTTAAATATGTATTTTTCTAAATATGTATGTTGCTTAAAGAATCATCTATAAAGAGTTGCTAAAGCAATCGTACAGGGTATCAACAGACACACACGCGCATAGCAGTAGCCCACAAAATTGCTGCCGCAGCAGTAAGCTGCAAAATAAGCCAAAAATATGCGTTATCAAGCCGAGCCAATATAAAAAGAAAAAAACTCTATGGCAGGGACGAACACTCCCAGTCAAACACACACTCTCAGGCACACACACTCACACACACATGTGTGTGTATAATAGCAAGCAGCACAGCTGGAAAGACAACAACGTCAAAGGACATGGGCATGGCTAGGTGAAGGCGGGTCGGGTCGGCTGGGGGAGGGCAGCATTATAGGAAGGGGCTCCTGGCCGGGATAATGGGGTATACCAATTGCAGTTGCCGTTGCCATTTTGCATTACTTTGCATAACCAGCGTGGAATATCCCGCTGTGTGTCCTGGCCAGGAGCAGGCACATATGTAGATGGAAGCCAGCAGGCAGCAGGCAGTTGCCAACACATCGTGTCGCCTGTTCCTGTAGCTGCGAGCCTCCAATGCGAAATCCTGCAAGTCTGCTCTTTAACCA